TAACTGAATATATAATAATCATTAATAATTCTTAACAACAACAACGATGACAACAATAAAAACAACAACAACATAATATAATAATAATGTTATACCAACAGTAACAAGAATAAGAAAAATAAAATTTGTTTGGACTCCCTGGCACTGTTAATTTACTCCTTGATGGTGATAAACAAAAGGTGGCACAAGCAAAGCTCATCCCATGGTAAAACCAGTCCTGGATCAAGGATAACCAGACTCAGATTTAGTTAAAAGAAGCTTTTCACTCTCTTGTTGAGTGGGAGCAAGAAGAAAAACCCCCAAAATATCCTAAATTTCAATGCCAGGGATGGATGACAATCCCAGGGATGGGTGACAATCCCAGAGCTGGCCCCGGGCTCGGAGCAGGTGGCTGCTCCAGCTGGTCCCAACCCCAGGCAGCAGAAGGCAGCTCCAGCACTGATCCCAGCAGCCTCCCATGGAATGTGGATTTTGGAAGTCATAATGTCCTGTTTGATGGGAAAAGGTGACACCACAGCGATGTTCTGTCCGTCCCTGGATCCCTGGAAATGCTCCAGGCCAGGCTGGACAGGGCTTGGAGCAACCTGGGATAGTGGGAGGTGTCCCTGCCCATGGGATCTAAGGTTCCTTCCAACCCAAACCATTCCATGATCCCATGATTATTGTCACTCTAATTACCTAAAAAACCTTTGGGTACCCAATTCCTGATTTTCTTCATGCCCTGATTTTTGGAAAGGACATTAAGGATTATCCAGTGCCACCCCTGACGTGGCAGGGACACCTTCCACCATCCCAGGGTGTTCCAACCTGGCCTTGGGCACTTCCAGGGATCCAGGGGCATCCACATCCATCCCAGCCAGGAATTCCTTCCCAATATCCCAATATCCCAATATCCCATCCATCCCTGCTCAGCTTCAGTTTGAAGCTGAGAATAAAATGTCTCTGTAACAATGACAAAGAGAACTATGTAATTTTTTATTTTTTAAAATACAATTATTAAATATATCTCCAGCCTCCCAGGACTTTTCCAAGCACGTTCACATCTAATATTTGCCAGGAAAATAAACCCACACAGGGAGTTTTCTGTGAGCTGGACAGGCAGGGGATGTGCAGAGGGCATTCCTGCCCCTTGGAATATAATCCCACCCAAACTGAGCAGGGCTTAGGGGCTGGCAGAGAAAATCAGGAAGGTGAAACCATCCCAAATTCCTGGTTTTCCTCACTTAAGCAATACCAGCACAGAGATTTCCACCCCAAACTTAGAACATTTTTAGCAAACTAACGCCCCAAAAGCACCCCTTTGACAGAAAACCCAGAGCTTAAAAGGTGGCAGAGGGACAGAAAAGAGCCCTGGCATTCCCCAAAAATCCAAAGGAGACAGAGCCAGGCAGTCTGAGGCTGGAAAAGCTCCTTTGTCTCCCTGTCAGGGTGTCTTGGGAGCCTTTCCTTGTCCCCATGGAATTAAATCCATCCAGAAGCTCCTGTGGGAGCTGCTCCAGGGTCAGGGCACCAAAACCCTCCTCAGCTCTGTGTCAGCTCCCAGAAGGGCTCAGAGCCAGCCAGGACCTCCCTGGAGCCAGAGGAGCACAGAAAAACTCCAAGAACAGATGGCCACATGAGGAATAAACCTAATTATGGGGGAATTTTTGTCCCAAAAGGGCTGGAGCCCAGCAAAATGTGCCCCAGAGTGCAGGAGCTCTCTGAACTCAGGTGCTCCTGGGGTGCCCCAGGCTGCTCTGGGTGGAATTATTGTCACTATTCCACTCGCCCTGCTGAAAATCTGAATGGCAATTCAACTCATTTCCTTCCCAAATTCCACTTCCCTGAGGAACACCTTCCACAGGTGTTCCACAAAAAGCAGCACTCAGGGAAGTGTCCCTGCAGCAGCCCCACTTCTACAAACAGGCCACACCACACAAAGCCTCAATAAATAAATACAACTCCAAAAATGCCTTCTTTTCCCCTGAATTTCTGTGTTTTGTCCTTAACCACTTGTGTCCCACCTTTCCCAAAAACTGCTCCCAAAACCAAGGCTGTGATGCCAATTCTCTGCTGTACAGCTGGGTCTACACAACAATGCCAAAGCCCAGGATTTATTACAGTTTATTAGGATTTATTCCAGTGCAGAGTCAACAAGCAGCTCTCAGTATGGAACATTTTGCCCTGATAAGCCTAAATGTGGGGGTGATGTCGTGGGAGTTTAAGGAATTGAAAAACTAAAATTGTTTTCATGTGTTTTGCTGTGTTTCAGGCTACGTTAAAAACCATTTGCTGGGATTATTTTTGTGAGGACACCCGTTCAATTGGATTAATTATCCTCATCTGTTACTGTTCCAAATACTGTCATCATAAAAGCATTTAACAATCAGCTGCTAATCATATATGCTTATATTTAAGCATCTATTCCTGCACCAGTCTAGGTCTGGCAAAATCCTACTTTTAAGGAGCAGGTGAGCCCCAAAAGCATCAAATAAATGGGAAAGCTGAGCCTGGCCACATCCTGGATTTCAGGCCTCCTAAGCTTTTCCAATCCATTCCCTAAATGAATGCCCAGAAAGATGATTATTGCTGCTTTGCAGTTGTCATGTGTCATTAGTGCTCCTGCCTTCAAAGCAATTTATGGAGATTTCTGCTCCAAAAGCAAGCAGGGAAGAGCCTGGCCAAGATATTCCCAATTTGTGGGAATTTCCCATCTCTTGGGAATGCTGGGCAGGAAAAGCACCCAGGACAAACACAAAGCTGGGTTTATCTCCTTGGGATCCTGGGTGCTCCAGCACTCATCCCACTGCATCCCTCCACGGCTCCAATAAAAATCCCATTTTTGTTTTCCACAGCCCAGGAGTTAACCCCAGCTGAGAAATAAAGACAAGAATCATGATTCATGCCCAACATCTGTGGGCCAGAGCCACTTCTCCTTACACTGGGCTCTGCTGAAGTTGGTTTCCAGCAAAAAAAGGGGATGACAGCCCGAGTTTGATGCCACAGGAATGGTGCAGGGAGAGTAGCTCTGCCTGCCTGAGCTGTTCCCAGCTCCCAGCCCACTGGGAAAACACAGCCTGAGGGAGGCTTGGCTATAAATGGGAAAATATCCTGAATTTCCAGATGCACTTGCAAAATGCAGATCCCTTGGAGAAGGACTTTGGGTAAGGGATGGAGGGACAGGACACAGGGGACGGATTCCCACTGCCAGAGGGATATTGGGAAGGAATTCCTGGCTGGGATGGAATTCCCAGAGAAGCTGTGGATCCCTGGAAATGCCCAAGGCCGGGTGGGAGCAGCCTGGGACAGTGATGGTGTCCCAGCACTGGGAAATCCTTACATCCCTTCCCACCCAAAGCATTCCATGATTCCAAACCACAGCCATCCCTTCCTGGTGGCTCCTTCCCATCCAGGGAAGCTCCAGGAACACTCCAGAGACTCCCTGGCTGATTGTGCCATAAATAACCCTGGCACTGAATTACTGCAACAACTAAAACTTAATTGAGTCGCCCAGGAAATTACTGGAAAATGATCCTTGTTTTTATCCCTAAGCTACTTAAGGGCCATGCAAGCAAACCTGTGGAATACTGAACACAGACAAGCAGGGATAATATTGTCTGCAAGCAAAAAAGAAAAAAAAACACAAAAAAAAAACCTGGATTGATTTTGGCAGAGGAGGATTAAGTTATGGGAAAGAAGCTCAAAAGAGGAAGCAACAAAATAAAAAACTGCAGATGGAATCACAGGGAGAAGGAAATAAACACTGGAAAAGGGAAGGGAATACACAAAATAAAGGAGCATTTTCAGGAGCCACACTGAGCTCACCAAGCTCAAACTGCACTGAGATGGGATGAGTTAAACTCCTCCATCTTCAGATTAAAGCATAAAAGAATAAAAATCTATAAACTGCTGGGATGGAGAAAATAAAAGAGATGAGAGGTGCCACCTACAACAGTAAACATGAATTATTCCAGCATTCACAAGTTAGATCAAAACAGGCATCAAAATATTTACAACTCAAGAGTCCTGAGCACCTGAAAAGGTGAAGAAACCATGAGGGAAGGGAGGGATGCACACACCAGGCTCCAAATGGGGAAAAAAGGAAAGAAAATATCCTTTCCCAAACACCAAAGGAACAGGATGAAAAGAGGGTGTCTAAAACCAATAAATCTGAGAAATTTAACATGCAGGATGAGACAACAGCAAATCTGTTCTAACCCAAAACTTAAAATAAATTGCTCAAGTTGGGCAGCAAGTGATGAACAAGGTGAGCATTGAACAGGTCCCTCACTGCCAGGTTATTCAGGGTTGGGAAGAGCAGAATTCCCTTTTTCCCCTGGTTTTACCAGCTTGAGGAAATCCCCAGCAAAAAATCCCCAGAAAAGCCAAGGTGCTGCTGGGGAGGACAATCCCAGCTTCTCCTTTCACAGCCACCTGCTCCTGGGTGATCCCTGAGACAAATCCATTTCTCCAGGGATTTTGGGGACCAGAACCTCTGGACTGCACTGAGGAAGGGCTGTCATTGTCACCTCAGGGTGACAACAAAGGCTGCTCCAAGCTCCAGCTTCTACCAGAGTCACAAAATTCAAAATTAAAACTTTCTGGTCTCTTCTGTGTTCAGCATGAATTTTTTTCACTCTGCAGCCCCCACAAGGAGATCTGCTCTTCCCCATCTCCCAAAAAAAAACCTGGATCAAGGAAGGCTGGTTTCATTCCCAGCTCCTTCCCCAGGACCAATCCCTTATCCTGCATCACCTCCCAAAAATCAGATTACACAACTCTCCCCTAAATAACAACATTTAACATAAAGGCATCTCCATTTAATGCCCATTCCAGGCATCCATCCCTCACGAATCTCCACACCTCTGCTAGAATTACAGCTCTAATATTCCCACATAGAGACAAAAATACCACTTTACTTGGAGAGCTGGAAGTCACTCCTGAAACAAGACATTTCCAGAGACAAAAAAAAAATCCCTTTTTTTCTTTTTTGGTTGGGTGAGAAACGTGACTGCCGTGGGGCAGCAGCATTTCTGACCATCCCACATGGACCTGCCAAATCACCAAATCCTACACAACCCCTGAATTTTTAGCAGCAGCATTTCTGACCATCCCACATGGACCTGCCAAATCACCAAATCCTACACAACCCCTGAATTTTTAGCACTCCAGTGCTAAATACTATATATAAATACATAAATACTATACTTGAATGGGCTCGTGCTTTGTTTCTCCCTGGATTTTCTACTCCAAATGATCCAATTCCAGCAGAATGGGAGGCTGCCTGCTCCCCAGTTTTGTTTGGAGAACTGCTGATCCATTAGCTGTCAATTAGCATCAATTCTCCTGCTGGAAGCACTGTCTCCATCCCACTCCCAACTCATTTCCTAGGAAGAAATGGGATCCCTGAACAAAGCTCTGCTTTTCCCATTATTCCATTCATCTTATGCACAAATACTGGGATAATAGAGTTTATTCAATCTCATTTGAGGTTTTTCCTGGCGTCCTGGTTCAGAAGTTATCAGGAATTGCTTGATGGTTAAAAGGGATTTTTGAGGATTTGATGTATGGGATTTGAAAACATCCCATTTCAGGCTGGAATGCTGTTTTAAGGAAAGGGAAGCTCTCCTGTGAAGGTAAAAAAAATACCCATTTGTGGCATTTAATCAGCTATTGCAAGCCAAACCCAAAGCACTGCCCTGATTCCATTGAATTTTAAATAAAACTATCAAACTGTTCCTGATGTATCCCACGCTGAGGTGGGACATCATCCCAGCCCTGCACACTGAAGAGCACTGAAAGGTGATTTTCAGACTGGTTTCACCTCAGAAAAAAAGCCCCAAACACGTAAAAACCCCAATCTGTTTTCCAGATGATTTAGCTATTAAGTGAAAGGCCAGTAAAATCTGCCTGGAACTCAAATTGGCTATGACCAAGTGAAATGGTTGTTCATGTAACATAAACCCCTGCACAATATGGTGCTACCACAACCCAGGGACTCTGGGAAAAAGATGTTGCCTATTAAAATAAAATTTTAAAAAAGGAGGTGGTTTTATATTTTCATAGGAGCTGAGGAGTTGAGCACTGAACAGAGGGAAGGAAGGGAAGAACCCAGTGCAAAGCACTACCTAAAGAGTCTGTCCAGAATGGTTTGTAAGCACAGCTATTGTTTTATTTGGAATAAAATAAAGCCTTTTTTATTTTACAGGAGTTCCTGCCTTGCATGGGAACTGAGGGATTAGGTTAACACCTGGCTAGGTGATATTTTCCAGAGGTCAAAATGTGAGATGAAAGTAGGAAAAATGGCATCAGAAGACACCAGGAAACAACGTGAGGACAGCACTGGGCTGCCCTGGCAGGAACAGGAGATGCTGCTCGGAGATCCCAGCTGCTGGAAAAGGCTCCAGTCAAAAACCAGGAGCTGGAGAGTGAGAAAATAATCCTAAAAAATAATCCCAACACAATCAAAACCTGGTAGAAGAGATTGGCTTGGCACAGGCTGGGCACCCTCAGCTGCCAGGCACGGGAACTGTGGCAGTGACGGAACAGGGAAATGCCCCCTCCTCCCACCACAGCTTTGCCTGGAGAGGAATTCCAGAATCCCAGACTGGGTTGGGATGGAAGGAGCTCAAACCCATCCCAATCCACCCCTGCCATGGCAAGGACACCTCCCATTGTGTGCCAGGCTGCTCCCAGCCCTGTCCAGCCTGGCCTTGGGCACTGCCAGGGATCCAGGACAGCCACAGCTGCTCTGGCCAGGAATTCCTTCCCAATATCCCACCAAAATTCCTTCTCCAGCCCAACCCCTGGCCAGAAATTCCTTCCCAATATCCCACCTAAAGCCACTGACATCACCTCCCACAGCCACTCCTGTGCATCTCAAGGATTCCCTCCAGCAAACCCAGCCTTTGGGGTTTTTTCTTTTTCCCCACTTTTCCCATTTTTCGATGGGTTTCCATCCCCCATTTTCCAGACCCAGCACACAGCTCCCTCCTCCTCCACCCCAAGCACACAAACACCACATTTCAGCCTCCCACTGATGCACAAAAATGTTAAACCCTGCTCCCTAATGAGGTGGATTTGCTCGTGGCATGTTGATATTCCTCCAGCCACATTCCCTCCCACGAAGTTCCAAATGCCTCTGAGAGAGCCACGAGCACACAGAGAGGGCTGAGCTCCCACAGCTGGGCTGGAAATGTCCTGGAATGTCCTGGAATGTCCACGGAGCCAGGGATGGGGCAGGGACATCACCACAAACACCACCCTGGCCAAGGATCAACCTCCACCCTGGGCTGGGCACCATCCCCCAGGGAAGGACCCGCACAGACATCTCCAAGGATGGAGGCTGGCCAGAAAAATCCATAAATCTGCTCTTTTAATCACTGTCTGAAGCCTTTATCGCTGTTATTGTTGTTATTGTTGTCATTCTCGTGATGCTGCAGGAGCCCTCCAGCTCCCCGCAGGAAAGGGGAAGTTTTCACCCAAAATTTGCTGATGAAGGGAATGAGCAGAAAATGAAAAAAAAAAAATAAAATCTGTGCTGATTGAAAAGAGGAGGAAACAGTCAGAATTCAGGCAGCTTGAAAAATAAAACTGGGTGATTCCTGAGCTCCCAGAGGAGCAGCAGCCGTGCCCATGGCTGTGGCATCCCCCAGCACAAGGTCAGTGGGATAAGGGCAGCCCATGCCAGGCCTGGATCAGTGTTTTGGCTACACACAGTGAAGGCCTCCCTGTCTGCCCTGGTATCTCTGTGGGAAAGGCCCTGAGCAGGAAATCATGGTTAAAAAGAGTTAAAACCCGAGCCCAGCCATAGGCAGCCCTGGGGCAGACCCTGAGCTGTCACAGCAGGAACATCTTCTTGACAAGGAATTCCCAAACCCACTGTTTCTGCGATGGAATAATTCCAAATCTGAATTTTCCAAGTGTTAAAGAAGAGGTGCTTTTCTCCCTCCACATCTTTTCTGTGAAATACTTTGGCACAGCAGCAGCAGCTGGGATGTGGTACCCAATAAACCCGTGGGTTAAGCTCAAAATACTACAACAGGTATTATTGGTGATGTTTCAGTGCATTTGAGCATTTCTTTATGTGCTGTCTGGGCTGTTTTGACACCAGAACAAGGCATACAAGTAATACTCCGCTCCAGAGAATTACACCTCAAGTATCCCCAAGCACCTCGAACAATTCTAACAATTCCAACAATCCCCTGAATGCCTCACAAGTGCATCGGGGCTGTTTTCACTCCACTTGCTAAACAGAAGGGATAATTCACCTTTAACAAAGATCTGCCATCAGACAGAAAATAAACACCAGCAAAACCAAACAAACAATAGCTCTGAGCTTTCCAAATAAAATTCCTTTTCCCTTTCAGTTGTGCAACCTTTTGTCCCCGAGCCAGCAGAGAATTCACTGCCAGAGAAGAATTTCATGCTTAATCAATTTTTGCCTGAGTGATGTTTGTGGGTATCCCAGTCCCTCCTCTGCCCTGCAAATCGAGCTCAGGATACCTTGGATCTCCATACCCAGAGGTTTTCTGACATTTAGGAATTCATCTGCATCCCCCTGGCTGCTGAAGGATCCGGAACAGGGAAGGACTCAGCTCATGGGAACTCTTGCACCATTCCTGTATGTTCTCACTGCAGCACTGAGATGTGACAGAATCATCCCCTAGCACGGAGAAAGCCCACCTGCCTTCTGCTGGGAACAGGCTGCACTTCCAGGAATATGCACAGATGGATTTATTTCTGGAAAACACCTCTTGCTCCCATACCAAGCGATGGGAGAGCTGGGAATGGCCCCAAAGCTTCTGCAGACTCAGAGGGAGCAGGAGAGGCCTGAGACAGGAGAGAAGGTCACCAGTCCCTGAGCTGACCTGGAAACCCCTGTGTGGGCTGAGCTGAAAAATCCAGCTCAGGATACCTTCCCTCTAATCCATACTGAGCCTGAGACTCAGCTTCCCAAATTCCTCTTCCCCTACTCTGGGTCAGCTGAATTTCTCACTGCTCCTGCAAGTGGGCAGCCCAGCAGCAAGGAAAACACCCCTGGCTATGCCAGGCTCTGGTAATGAAGGGGTTAAAAAAAAAAAAACCAGGAAAAAAAAAAAACCCCAAAAAAAACCAAAAAACATTTCCAAAGCAAAGGGTTTTCCCCACAGTGTTTTGTGCACTTCGTTCATCTGCTCAGGCACAGAATGGTGGAATACTGGAATGGTTTGGGTGGGAATACTGGAATGGTTTGGGTGGGAATACTGGAATGGTTTGGGTGGGAATACTGGAATGGTTTGGGTGGGAATACTGGAATGGTTTGGGAGGGAATACTGGAATGGTTTGGGTGGAGGGGACATCTTCCACCATCCCAGGCTGCTCCAAACCCCTCTCACTCCTCTCCTCCCTCCACAGCACTGCCAGAGGCTCCTGAAAAATTCATGGAGCAAAAACGCCCGTGGAGCAGCAAAGTTCTTGTTTTATTTAGCAAAAAGCACACGGTGCATTTGCCACGCTCAGATACTCATTTAGATGATCAAGAGAACAGGGACGTGGAGCTGAAGCTCTCAGACACAATTCCCTGTGAGCAGATCCCTGGGAAGAGCTGACAACTCCCAGGCTGCTGCAGGAAAATGCAATTTTTAGCCAACAACTCACACACAGCCATCCAGCCCAGCTACCTGTAAGGATTAAATTAATTACCCAAAAATCCTGGCTCAATCCATGAATAATTATCCTGATATCAAATGGACTCCAGTTACCTGGAGAGTTGTGACCACCGAGCAACACCTGGCACCAATGCCATGAAAAATCACCCCTGAGCCAAAGATTTTTGTAGGGATGGCACAGCCAACACTACAGTCCTCAAAAGTGTGATTGCCCTGCTCAATCCACTTTCCATCAGCTTCCCAGGAAAACTCCTTGTGCCATAATTCACCCCCGTGCCACCCAGTGCTGCATCCCAACCTGTGGAAATGTAAATAATAATTAATTACATTTATTATTCCCCCTCCATGTGCCCATGGAGGGGGAATAATAAATGTAATTAATTATTATTTACATTTCCAGTTGTAGGCTTCTTGTATCTGAGAGAAGAGACAAATTCAATGTTCACCCACTATCCCTGGGAGAGTGCACAGCCACACAGAGGCTCCCCCACACACACTCGACATCAAAGCTCCTGTTTGAGCAGGCTTGAAGTTAAATATTTGTGATAGTTAATTTATTTGATCATCTGCACTTGCAAGGCTCAGAGCTGGGCAGAGAGGCCTTTGAAGCACTCCCAAACACAGTAAATCATTGGGAACCTTTGTCAGGAAAGTGCTGGATGATCCCAGCCAGCCCCAAGCCCGGCCCAGGTGGGATATTTGGGATATTTGGGATCTCTGCCCTTGGAAAGCCGGACAAGGGGAGCCACAGGGGGACGTGCCAGGATGCTGGATGGATGAACAACCAGGATTTCTGCATTGAACAATTTGCTTCTTCATTGTAATTACTGGCTTCTGAAAGACTCCAGCAACTTTGCCAATTTGTACAACCCTCTATTCTCTGCCTTTGGCCTCCGCTGCGCAGTCATTTTGCAGACAAACAAGGAACAGATGTACACTCTAGAGCTGCCCCAAGTCCTTTTATAGTAAAGGATTTCTGGCCAAACAATATATATTAAATAGAGAAAGAGGGGAGAAAAAAACTATTTTTGTACTTTTTAAGGTATCTCTCACAAGAGCCAGATGCACACTGCAAAATCCAAAATCTCTTCATACGATTCTGGAAAGCTCAAGAATTTTCTGTCCTGGAGCAACTCCTGCCCCTGGCCAACACCCTGGGGACACCAGGGGCAGCCCTGGGGGCTTCTGCTGCCATCACCAACCCCCTCTGCCCCTGGACCACCAGGACACAGCCTCAGAAAGGAGCTACAGAATTCCAGAGCGGTTTTGGGTGGAAAGGACACGAGGGATCATCCAGTGCCACCCCAGCCATGGGCAGGGTCACCTTCTGCTGTCCCAGGCTGCTCCAAACTGTTCTGGAACAGAACAGAGGCAGCCACAGCTTCTCTGGGAAACCCACTCCAGCCCCTGCCCATGCTCCCAGCCAGGAATTCCTTCCCAAAATCCCCAAATCCCTCTGGGACGCCATTCCCATGTCCTGTCCGTGGTCAACCCCGCTGCGCGCTGCTCAGGCAACATGACGGGGGAAGTCACAACCTCTGGGAGCTTTCCTGTGGATCTTCCTGCCACGGGATCCCTCCCTGGGGCTCAGCCCAGGGCTGGGAGCGCTGTCCCAGTTCCCAGTTCAGCTCCCAGTTCCCAGTTCAGCTCCCAGTTGCCGTGCCGAGGTGTCCCCAGCGCCGGGCGCGGCTCCAGCTCCCAGCCCAGGACAGAGCTGGGGGACAGTCCTGGAGGTCCAGCAGGGCCCAGCCTCGTGTGAGGAGCATTCATGGGCAGGACAATGGCCCCATTCTGGTGCTCGATGAATATCCTCCCCAAATGTGTGTTTAACGCTGCGCAGTCCCCGCAGACAAACACTGGTTTTGTTAAAGAGAGCCCGGGCTGAACTGGGACCCTCTGCAATATGTTACTGAGAGCCCAGCATATACAAATTATACATCAGCCAAGTCCCCCTGCCACAAAACACTGAGAAAGGTGTTGTAGGGAGAGGCAGAGCTTGGGTAGATGAATGCTTGTGTTTTCCAACATATCCATACGGGAATGATGCAGCGGATCAGGGTCAGAGCTGGGAGTGAAAACATCACAGACATCTCACCAGCCACAGATAAAGGATCAGGGGATCTCCTGAGCTGGAAGGGACCCACAGGATCATGGATCCAAAATCCCAAAATCCTGTCGCAGGGACATTCCTCTTTCTTTCAGGATTTTTCACGGAGGAGTACAGAAGAAAGAAAAACAATTTCTATTTCTGCTCGTTTTTCCCATGTGGAATGTGTTTGGAGAATTGTTTCCCTGGGGTGTTGCTTGGTTGGATTCTGGTGAGGATTGTTTGAGCTGATGGCCAAATCCAAATCCAACCTACCTGGGGCTGGGCTCTCAGAGGGTCACAAGTTGGGAGTTAGATATGGTAGTTAGAAAAGTAGGTTTGTAGTTTCAGTATGTCCTTTATATAGTATATTAATGTATTATAGTATAGTTATAACAAAGAAATCATTCAGCCTTCTGGAGTCAGACATCAGCATTTCTTCCCACCGGGAATTTCCAATTTTCCACCTGCATTTCCAATAAAATCCCACCCTGGGCATCCCTGGGAGCGCTGTCCAAACGCTCCCGGAGCTCTCAGTGCCCAGCACCCCGTGGGGGAAGAGCCTTTCCCTGAAATCCAGCCTCAGATGGAGCAGAATTGGCATTTCCCAGCAACAACCTCTTGTGGGCAAGGGCACAACCCTTGGGGCCAGCTGGTGTGAGCACACGAAGTGATGGAAAGCTGCTCAACCCTCCAGAGCTGAAACCAGGACGTGATAAACGGGAAATTCCCACTTTTTCATTCCCACCAGCAGCTCCAGGTGCTGTTACCTGACCAACCTGAGCCCTTTGGCCCCAGGGTAGAGATTTTCTCTAACCCAAATATAAATCAAATGGAAGGGGCTGGTGTCACTTATTTCCCATCCCGAATTCCCAAACGGACTCTTCCAAACAAAGAAAACAAATCGTTCAGCTGGGTTTGTCTCACCACAGAAGCCCTCAGCAGCTGGATCACCAGCACAGCCTGCAAGCACACAGCAAACTGCTGCTTTTCAACTCTCATCTTCTGCTTTCCAAAGAAAAATCCCATTTACACCTCCCAGCAGAGGGAGAAAAAGCCCTCCAGAGCCACAGCTCCGGGCTCCTGCTGTCCCCACACCTTAGGACACGGAAAGGGAGCAGGAGAACCAAACCCTTCTCGTGTCTGCCTTCCTGCACCTTTGGATCCTGATCAGAAAGTGCCTCATTCAAAGCCAAGAGGCAGCCCAGATGCTTCAAAATAAGCTCAAGTGCTGCTGCATTAGCATGTGGTGCATAATTCATGGGCTGCTCCTGCTGGGGAGAGCAGAGCCAGGTCATGGTGCCAGGGCTCCTGCTGGGTGCCAGCCTGCCCTGCCAGACCCAGGCCAGCCCAGGCTGTGGATCTGTGGATCACAGAATCCCAAAAAGCTGATTATTCCCAGAGATGCCGCCCCTGGATCCCTGGCAGTGTCCCAGGCCAGGCTGGACAGGGTTTGGAGCAGCCTGGGACAGTGGGAGGTGTCCCTGCCATGGCAGGGGTGGCACTGGGTGGGATATAAAGTCCCTGGGACAGTGGGAAGTGTCCCTGCCATGGCAAGGATGGGATTTGAAGTCCCTGGGACAGTGGGAAGTGTCCCTGCCATGGTAGGGTGGCACTGGGTGGGATTTGAGGTCCCTGGGACAGTGGGAAGTGTCCCTGCCATGGCAGGGTGGCACTGGGTGGGATTTGAAGTCCCTTCCAAGCCAGGCCGTGCTGGGATTCTGTCACTCTGGCCAGGCTGGTCAGGGTTGGAGCACCCTGGGATGGTTTTGGTGCAAAAGTGGCACCAAACTCTCTGACAACAGCTCAGCCCAAGGGATTTCACATTCCCTGTGCCCTAAACCCACAGCGGGCACCAGTGCCAGCTGGGCACAGCAGTGCTGGTGGCCCTAGAGCACAAACCCGCCCAGAGAGCCTCCCCTGCCACCTCCCCAGTGCCACCACCCAGAGCTGGGTCAGCAAAGGGAAGCAAAAGCAAAACTGCCACCAAGCCCAGGGATTCCCCATCTCCAGAGTGTGGGAATCCAGAGCTTCCCTCTGGCTGCCCTGGGACCCTGGCAGGGGTCAGGAACCCCCCTGGACAGAGCCCCCAGAGACACTGGCTGTGATCTCTGTCCATGGAAAAGAGTTTTCAATCTTACAGGATCAATTACCAGCTCTGAGTGTTTGATATGAGTAATAATTAAGTGTGGCACGGGTGCAAAAGTAAAATTTTAGGATTCTAAATGAGGGGTCCAAAGGGGACAAGATGGAGGAAATTGGGTGTGTTTTGTCCTTTTTCTCCTTCTTCATGCCCTCCATGTTTCACTGTGGTGTTGGCATTTTTCTGTTGGTTCAGGCTGGGGACACGCTGTCCAACGTAGGTGACAGATATTGGCACGTTATTGTAAATCCAGCACAGGTAGTTTGTGGTATTTAATGTTTGTACCATCCCACTGAGGGCAGAGCCCCACACGCTGCCCTGCAGGACAGAGCTGCGGCAGGGCAGCAGAACATGGTAGAGATAAACAGAATAAACAGCCTTGAAACAGCACAGATTAATTATGATTTCTTCTTTGGCAGCGGGGCTGACAGACAGAGACTTTTTACAATTTCAGAATTATCAATACCTCAGATTCCAACACAGAGGAGCCCTGGGCTGTGCTCGCTCCCCCTCCCCACCTCCCCAGCTGGAAGAACAGCAGCAGCCTGGAAAAAATGACCAAAAACCTCTAAAGTGTGTTTGGGGCGAAAGGCAGGCATGGCACAAGGTTTGCTTCTCTTTAGTGAGCAAACTAAAATCAGAAAGTGAATGTCAAAGGTTGCTTTCATTTTAGGATGGAGCCTGAGTGAGAAATAAAGAGGAAGATAAACCCAGCTACTCCTGCAGGGTCATTCACCCCCTCAGCTCCAGAGCAAGGGGGCAGATTTAAACCACTTCTTCTGACAGACTGGGATGAAAAAATCATTTCTTCAGCAAGTGCTGGACTCAGAGTGAGAGCAGGAAACTGCCTGGACCCTGTGGGAGCAGGGGTGGTGCTGACCCCACATGAACAGCAGCCCAACCCCTCCTGCAGCTGGAAGGAGCACCCACTATTCCAGCAGGGAAAAACTCAAAATTCCAGCAGGGAAAAACCCCAAAATTCCAGCAGGGAAAAACCTCAAAATTCCAGCAGGGAAAAACCCCAAAATTCCAGCAAGGAAAAACACCAAAATTCCAGCAGGGAAAATCACTCCCCTTCTCCAAAGCAGCCATACAAACACAGGACAGGGCTGGTAATTCCCATGCACACCTTCACATGGATGTTTTACTCCAAAAGGAGCTGGAGCCTTTAAGAAGTTGCCTGAATGATTCACACCCTTTGTCCAAAAATCCCAAAACACAGTAAAACTAGCATTGTACTTCTGGAAACGCAGGAGGAAATCAAACATTTTGGTTTGGGTTTGTTATCTGCTGAGTTTTGCCATTCAGGGGGAGAAGTTTCTGTGCACTTTAATACCTCCTCATGCAGCAGGAAAAGCTGAAGTGATTTTCAAATGAAAGGCTGAGGGCAGCCACCCGTGGCTTCAAGTCATTCAATCCCCAATCAGAAACTACTCAAGAGCCACTGATTTATTTCAGCTCGCCTTGTAAACTCCAAATTTCATCTTGCACCTCTCAGTTCTTCCTCCAGCATCACCCACGACACGGAACAGTTCACCAGAGACCATTTCACACCTCAGGGACAGCTCTGGCACGACAAAACAAAAATCATAAAAACCCCTTTATCTCCCACACAAGGTTAAGGAAGTTGATGGAGATGTTTGATAAAGCTTCAATGCTCTGAGGAAAGAGGATGGGGCAGGTTAAAGGTGGGGTTTGCTTGACCTGTTGTTGTTCACCTTAAACAAAATTTAATGTGTAATTTGGAGGGTTCATCCCTCCACCATCATCCAAAGTACTCGATTATTTGGCATGGAAAAATGGTACACCGAAAAATATACGCATCTGCATCAGCCCAGCCATTTTAGAAGTCTTCCAGGTTTCCAGGAGCTGAAATTAATTTTAGCAGGGTTACCACCAGCTAAATACCCACCACAGTACCCTCCTGTTCCAGACACTCAAAGGAAAAAATCAGTTTTACAGAAATGTTCTCCTGTGATGTCTGGGTGGAAAAACTTACAAATGCCACCCCCTGACTGACAAAGCAGCTGGGCAGAAGTGTCACCACCCAGCACTGCTGTACATTTAAACCCTGTGAAATATAAATACATATTTAACCATGTGATTTATGAGGCTGTTTCTTGAAGCAAAATGTCACTGCCCCAATCACTTCACGAGGCCTTGAGGAAAATCCCCATGGGCAGGAGCCTGTCAGAGCTGAGGCCTGAAGGAGGAAACCCCACAGGTCTGTTTGAGATCTGCATTTTAGAAATCTCATTTTCCTCAAGATTCCTAAAGCCCCCTTAGTGTCCCATGCAGTACCACTCCCACCTGCATCAGGTGCTTCAGGATCTCAACTCAAACCCATCCCAAGGGAATCCTGTTAAATTTAGGGATCACAACAAGGAATCCAGTGCCCCACCAAAGCAGGGAGGCTGATCCTATCCCACAGATATCTCCTGCAGCCCCCCGGTGCTCTGTAATGATTTGCAGACCCTAAACCATACATATGGTTTAAAATACATATATATTTTATAAAACAATGCCTAATATAGCTGATAGACAATGAGGAAGGGGAACAGCTGGGAAACATTAAGAGTTTTCACACTGAGCTTCCAAATTCTTCAGCAGGAGACACTCAAGCTGCCTTCCCTGGGATGGAAAAGGACGCTGGGACAAAATCCAGGGGCAAGATGGGAATTCCAGCAGAAGGGAGATGCTCCTGTGGGCAAAGCAGGAACAGGTATGTGCCTCACCTGGGGATGGCAGGAACACCTCCCTCACCCTCTGGCCAAACCCTCCATCCCACAGCAGGGGCACAGAGGGGCCCTTTGTGCACCCAAACCCCACTGGGAGGGGGAAGAGGATATTTCCTGTTAACCTCACCACAGATTTGTAATCCAGCAGTCAAATTATGTCAATCACAGCTCATTAGGCAGCGATTTCCCCTGCCAAGCCCGGCCTGGCTGCTTCCTCCAAACACGTGGCATCTGCAAACGTGCACAGGGAGACCACCCTGCTGCAGGAGCTGGAAATTTGGGATAGGCTCCCACAGCTCCCAGCTCCAGTGCCACCATGTCTGTGGATGCCTCTGGCACCCCTGGGCTGCTGAACTGGGTCTGCCCTCAGCAGACATGGGGTGGTGACCAGAATTCAGGATTTACACCCATGTGTGTGTAGGGAAAGATCCCACAGAGCTGAGGGGAAGAGAGCACTGGGGAAGGGACAAGGTTGGGACGTTCCCAAAGCTCAGAGACAGAGACAGAGCTGAGACCCAGCACAGCCAAAGTGGGAACTCGGTGGCAAAACCACACCACTGCTTCCCTGGAGTTCACATCCTCATGCAACCCTGAGAAAAAGGGAATAATTTCACAGGAAAAGGGAGAATTCCCATCAGCTTGAAGGATGGAAGGAACAGCACTCGGCTTACAGACTGAAACTTGGATCTCTCTTGGGCTGTCCTGCATATTTTCCTCCTTGAATACATCCCAACAAATGCATCCTCCTGGAACACACCCACAGAGCCCAGTCCCCACCAGCACAGGCTCAACACACGAACCACGGTGGCACATTTCCTACAGCAGTGCCAAAAACAGCACAGGGACACACAGAGCCACGGGGAAAACCCTGATTACTGCCCAACAGACCACCAGGAGTGACACAGCCAGTGGCATCCCTGTCCCTCTGCTGGCTCTGGACACCTCAGGAACACCAAGGGCACAGGGAGCACAGATTGGAGAACTTCACCCAAAAAAACGTGACCTGGAGCAGTGCCCATCATGTCCTGCAATTTATTTAGAATCAGGAGGCAGGGAGGTGACAGTGTGTGTTTGAGGTGACCAGGTATGTGTTTTTGAGGTGACCAGGTGTGTGTGTTGGAGGTGGACAAAGCAGAGCCCTTTCTCAACACAAAATCCTCTGAGAGCCCAGCAAACAGCAGCTGGCACAGATCCATCACCTCCAGGCACAGCATCCCCTCGCTGAAGGGACTCCAGAGATGCTGGAGCAGCTCAGGACAGCGTATTTGAGGTGGAAAACATAAACCAGTTGTTGTCATGGCACTCAGGGTGAAATCACAGCCAAATGTGCTCTCCTGGTGGTTTGGAGGGCCAGGGCTCCCTGCTCTGGAAGAGAACAAAACTTCCAAACACACAGAAGGCACCTCTCCCACACAGGAGTGGGCACAACCCTCCCAGTGTGAGGAGGGAAACCTGAACACAGCCACTCACTGTGTTCATCAATGTCCAGCCTTGGGAATTTCAGCAGAGATATGGAAATTGGGATTGTCAGCACAGCCCTCAGGACCTCACCAGGGCTGAGTGTGCCAGCAACGCCCGTGCCAGGCTAATTTCTTAAGACAGCACATAAGGAAGGTGAGATTTAGTCTTATAACCTTCAGCATCTCCTTCTTCATACTCCCATCTCCTGATTAATCCTCTCCCCCCAGAGAAAATATTCCTCATGGTTTTTTCCCTAATCATTCCTTTCTCGTTAATCCCTGCACTTCTCCAGCCTACCCCATTCTGGGCTTTGACCAGTGGCACAGTCATCTCTCCCTCAGAGCCACAGAGAAAACAAAATAATCACAGCCCAGCAGTTTATTCTTTCATGAACCGGTCAGAGATTTCCTGGAAGCTGCAGCAACACCAGTCATGCCTGGCTGGCTGCAAGAACAGCATGAAGGTGATTTTTGGGGCTGTTTTGAGTCCCATCTCGCAACCTTCTCCCCAAGGTGGGAAAATCATCCCAAACCACATTTGTAGGGACTGCCCACCTGCATGGCCGGCCTCTCCCTCCAGCAAAGCTGCAGCACTCATCCTCCCAGCCTGAACTGAAGTCCATCTCTAAAACCTTCCAAGCACCTCAGGAAACAGGCTGGGTGCTGTTATCTCCCGTATTTACGTTACACGTTTCTAAGGCTGCCCCAAATGACGTCTCTGCCTTTCACAGATCCCATCCATCACCATCCCCTGACCCAAAGCCACCGATTTCTCCCCACAAACCACGCAGGCAGACGGATCCAGGAGCCCTTCTGGCAGTCCCAGATGAATCCAGACTGGATTCTGAGCCATGTACCGCCTGTGGGAGCATCTCCCATCGCCAACACGACCTCGGCTTTCCCCGACAAGAGCAAGGCGACACCGGGCTTTTTTCCACTGTGCCTAATAATCGTAACATCTCACTCGCCATTTGGCTCGTCAGTGGGGGTTCCTGACTGAATAGGCTTATTCTTTTCTTAGACATGATAATCTAATTGGGTCTAACCAGAAATAATCCCCAACACACAGCAGCCGTCAATCCTCCCCAGCGCCCGGGAGCGCTTCGGGGAGCGGGGGGGCGGCTCCGGGATGCGGGACGGGAATTACCCCGGCGGCTCCCGGGGCATCACGGCGTGGCAGGGCATGGAACGCACATGGAGCCGCTCGTCCTCCTCCCCCAGCTCCCGTTCCACACGCAAACGTGGCTCCAAGAAAAAAAAACCAAAAAAAAATCCAAAAAACACGGTAGAAAAGAGATGGAGCCGCGCTGCCGGGGTACCCCAAAGGCAGCGGGAGCTTTGCCCAGGGAAAGCTCTGATCTCACACAGGCACACACCCGGCGGTGCTGCTGAAATGAAAAAATGAAAAAACCCGGCACGGTCCGGGGGAGAAGCACCACCGGGGTGTCCCCTGGCAGGGGGGGACAGGACCGGGGTGTCCCCGGGAGGAGAAAGGCGGAGGTGGGCACGGGAGCGGGGTGTTCCCGGGGTACACAGGAGTAGGGTGTCCCGGTGGAGCAGAGCGGGTGTCCCCGGAGGAGCAGAATCGGTGTCCCCGGGCTCCCGGTGGAGCAGAGCGGGGTGCTCCTGATGGAGCAGAGCGGGGTGCTCCGGTGGAGCAGAGCCAGAGTCCCCGGCGGAGCTCAGCCAGAGTCCCCGGTGGAGCTCAGCCAGTGTCTCCGGGCTCCCGGCGGAGTAGAGCCGGTGTTCCCGGCGGAGCTCAGCCAGAGTCCCCGGCGGAGCTCAGCCAGAGTCCCCGGCGGAGCTCAGCCAGAGTCCCCGGCGGAGCACAACGAGAGTCCCCGGGCTCGCGGCGGAGCAGAGCCGGTGCCCCCGGAGCGTCCCCGGCGGAGCCGCTCCAGCTCCGCTCCGCCGGCCGCGGGCTGAGCTCCACCGCCGCCGCCCGCTCCGGCCCCGGGAGCCGCCCGGGCCGGGGCACAGCGGCCCTCAGGGGTGGCTGCCGAGACAAAGAGCCGCGTCCCCGTCCCGCGGGCGGCACCGCCCGGCCGAGCCCACCTGTGCCCGGCCGCGGCTCCCGAGCCAACTTTCCGCCGCTCCCCCCTTCCCCCGGCCCGCGGCCCCTCCGCGCTGCCCTCAGACAATGGGGCCGGCGCTCACCAGCACCACGGCGAAGCGCTCCTCCAGCTCTCCGGGCTCGGGCATGGGCAGCTTCAGGGGGACGCTGTGCGCCCTCAGCTCCGTCTGCTGCGCGTCCACGCTGCCCGCGTTGCCCATGGCGGCGGCTCCGCGCTGCTCCGCGCCCCGCGCCGGGCGGGCTCCGCGCCCCGCGCTCGCCCTCTACCACCGCGGCCGCTCCGCCGCGCCGCCGCCCGTCATGGCTCGCCGCCCTCGCCCTCCTCCCCCCGGGGCGGGCTCGCTCCGGCTCCGGCTCCGGCTCCGGCTGCAGCTCCAGCCCCGGCTGCGGCTCCCCCGCATGCCGCCCGCACAAAGCCCCGCTCCGCCCCCGGCCCGCGGCGCCATGGGACTCGTAGTCCCGCCGCCGGCCCGGGGGGAGGAGGAGGGAGAGGGCGGTGGGAATGGCTGGAAAAGGGTTGGGAAAGAGTGGGGGAATGGGGGAAAGGGGTGGGGGAGACCCCGCCGCCTCCATTTTGCCTCAGCGGCCGCGGTGGTGCCGGCCGGGAGTGAGTGGATGCAGGGGATGGTTTCCAGAGAGGGCACGGGGAGAGCGGAGATTCCAGAGAAATCCTTCCCTGGCAGGGTGGCAGCCTTGGCACGAGTGCCCAGAGCAGCTGTGGTGCCCCTGGATCCCGGGAAGTGCCCAAGGCCGGGTGGGATGGGGCTGGGAGCAGCCTGGGGCAGTGGGAGGTGTCCCTGCCATGGCTTTGAGGTCCCTTTAAACCCAAGCCAAACTCGGTGGTGCTGTGATTTACTCTACACCTTTGCTGTGGAAAGCCGTGGTCCTGCTGCTTGCCCAAACCGCTGTAGGTGCCCAAGGACAGTGGTCCCACTTGGTCACCCCAGCGCCCATCCCAAGTGACTGAAATCGGGACAAACGGGGGTGATTGACCCCCGTGAATTCACCACCCCGCCTGGGTGTACACAGGGGGTTCATCCTCCCTCACCCTCCCCAGCAGCTCAAACCTGGCCGCTCCTCGGGTGTTATCCCCCATTTCTGCAGCGTTCCCTGGGTTTCAGCATGCCAGGAATGCAGGAGCCTGGAGCCCTGACCCTGGGAGATGCCATCAGCCCATTTGGTGACTGTGCTGTCCTCACTTACATCTGGCTTAATCCCAAATCCAAGACCTCATTCCCTCCTGTCAGCCCCACCAATCCATACCCCACTGTCCCCTATTAGCATCCCATTATCCTTCCAGGGAAGAAGGATTTTCACTCAGCTCTCACCTCCACAACACTCCTCTCCTCCTGGCCATGGAAACTATCCACATGGAGATTAATTTGGGGAGAAAAGCAAAAGGATAAGCGTCATAGTTTGGGAAATGGCCATTCCTTCATTTCCATTCTCTGGGATCAGAGGCACGGCTTAGGAAGTGCCGCAGAAGCGACGTGCTGGGAATCCTGTGTGGCAGCACACGCAGTCCTGCAGGGGAAATCCATGGAAATGACAGGCAGCTTTTCTCTCTGGGAGCTCTAAACCCACTACTAATTAAACCTGCTCGTTCCAATTAACAAAAAAAGTGTCATATATCCATAACTAGGATGGGGAGGAACACCTTGCCCTGGCTCACTCCCCACTTTGCCCACAGAGCATCAGGACGTGGCCTGGGACCCCGAGTGATGCCAAAGGTGTGGATTTCCCACTCTGCAGGCCCCAGGAACAGCTCAGAATTTCATCAACTGCTTTGTTAAAAGCCTGCAAATCTTGCAATATCCTTGGTAAACAAAGGTTTGAACCCCGGAGTGATGTCAGGAGTCAATAACGACGTTACTGTCGATAGCGTAATAGATACTTTGCCCCGTGTCTTTTATCTATCACAATTCTTTTGAAAGATTAATTAGTTAATTAAGCTTCACAAGGGTGCTGTGAGATAAGGCAGCGTTAGAGCACCACTGATAACAGGAGGGCAGGGAACAGTGACAAAGACAGTCCCCAGCAGAGGATCCTTCTCTCTCCCAGCAGCAGCTTTTCATTACCTGTGATGACAAACTCACTGCAGTGTCAGGAATCCCAGGATTTTCCCACTCAATATTTCCCACCATGGAAGCTCTCAACATTTTTTTGATGATCCTTGTGGATCCCTTCCAGCTCAGCATATTCTGGGATTCCCTGAATCACCTCAGAATTTTTTAAGTCCCTCTGGACACCAGGAGACCTCTGGGGACGGGGAGATGCTGCTGGCCACAAATTCCCACAAAAGGTTGAGAAAATTGCTGGATAAACTGGATTCCTGGGCTTCAGCAAGAAGTCAAAGGCAGCTCTAAATCCTGCTATGAGGCATATTCAGGTCAAAACCGGCCTTGCAAAATTTTTAATGAATTTAGGCATCCTCACACACAGCGAGCATTTAACATCAATGCAGCAGAGCAAAGAAAAGAATTCTTTTAAAGGATGAGATGATTTTTAAGCAATTTGTTGTCGTCTCTAACTGGGATGTCGACGTTTGCAAATGCCAAAATTAGTGTGGGTAAGTAAAAAAAGGGATTTAGCTGGCTCGTGCAATGTAAAGAAATTATTCTGGGATAAAAACTAATAAACAAGACCTTTGTTTTCACAGTTATTTATTCAAATAAAAGCAGCAGCTCACAATGTGCAGTTCCCAGAGCTCATCCCAGGCACCTGGTGATTCACACCGGGTGATACCAGCAGGGAATTCTTGGTCTGCCCCGGGGTTAATGGTCATATCAGCTTTGCAAGGGCTCCCTGCCATGAATTTCACTGGAGAATGAGATTTCTCAGCCTTTCCTCGAGGTCTGTTTGTCACCAAAATCTCCTCATAACGAGCTGGAAGTCATGGCCGAGTCATTCCTAAATTCCCCTGGCCCAAGTGCTCCGTTTGTCACCAAAATCTCCACATAACGAGCTGGAAGTTTGGGGCTGAGTCATTCCTGAAATCCCCTGAACCAGTCTGTACTTACTTATCTAGAGAAGAACCTTTGAAGGGAACAGATTGATTTGTGAACCCTCATTTTCCCTGATGCTCAGCACTTCCAGATGGATCCTGAGCTGCCATTTCAGTGAGGTTCCAGGTGATCTGATAAAAGCTGGAGAGACTTTAATAAATAGCCAGAGCCTGCTCAGCAGTGGCCAAGGATGTTTCACTCATAATAAAGATGTAGAGCACCCATAAAATCCATCCCTGAGCTGAGCAGTGCTCGCTTCACCAGAGGTTATTGATTGCAGTTTGAATGCTGAGCTTGCTTAGGAGAGGGGCTTTTCTGTAACAAATGACAAAAATATTTAAAATCCTGTTCTGCTTTCTGAGGACAGCCTTCCCAAGGAAAATGAGCTTCTGCAGGAGCTGCAGGGTGGAAGTGCTCAGTCCCAGCACAGCGAGTGCTTAGGGTCACATCTATCCATCCCTCTCAGTTTTCTCACTGTGCTGGAAATTAAATGATGAATTTTGGAGCTGATTTCCTCGTGCCCTGCTCTGGGCATCACTTCCAGCACTGCTGTGGCCCAGATGCAGCTCCAGCAGAGCCAAGTGTGGTGCTGTTATCAGCATCCCACCTAACCCTGCCCTCCACCCCTTGTCCCCCATCCCTCTCCAGCTCTCCTGGAGCCCCTTTGGGCCCTGGAAGGGCTCTGAGCTCTCCCTGGAGCCTTCTCCAGGCTGAACGTCCCTCCAGGTGTAAAATGAGTTTAAAAGAAGCTGCAAAGCTGGGCAGAGAATGCCCAAGGAGCAGTGGGATGTGAAGATGAGCACCTGGAGGTGAAGGACACCTCCCTGAGCAAACCCAGCAGCAGCTGGGGTTATTTCAGCCTTGCCAGGAGCTCCTTCACCATTTCTTGGCAGGAAGGCAGGCAGACAAAACACAGCCTCAGAATTCCCAGCAAGGCCAGGAATCACAAGCGCTGAGGAAAGTGAGATAATGGAGCAGAAAACAGGGCTGGGGAAGGAGTCAATATTTAATAATCCTGCAATGTGAGAGCAGAGCAGCACTGAGATGCAGCAGAGGCTGGAGGAGATGCTGCCTGGAACGAGGGCCAAAAGATGCTTCTCCTTTTTCCCCATGGCTCCAAAGGCCAGCAGGGACAATGGCAACCCGGTCCCACCAAAGGCTCTGCACAAAGAACTCCCCAGCATGCTCAGGCAGGAGGAATAAAATTAATTTGGTTTATTTTTCAGCTGATAGAAGTGTTTAGAGGCCTTAAACGGCTTTCAGAACTCACGAGGAAAATATGGATCTCAATTTACGGGGCTGATTAACAACATTTGCCTCCCAGCAAGGCAGGAGGGGAGGGGGGATTTGCCAGAGCAGGAGTTGTGCAGTCACTGGAAACACCTTTTCAATCACTTTTGCCAATGTCACCAGCTGCCTTTAGTGATGTCTTACCCTGGTGAGAGCTCCCAGGAGAGCTGAGATCCCCCCTCAGCCACAGTTCCCATGTAACTGCTGCTCCTGGGATGCTCCTGGGATGCTCCAGGGATGCTCCAGGGATGCTCCAGGGATGCTCCAGGGACACTGGGGCATTAGGTGTGAAGCCATTCCCTGCATCCTGTCACCCCAGGCTCTTGCCCAAAGTCTCTCCCCATCTTTCCTCCAGGCTCAGGCACTGGAAAACCACAATTAGGTCACCCCAGAGCTTCTCTTCTCCCGGGACCTGCAAGGTTCTGTTTTATGCTAAATTAAACAAAAGGCCAACGATGCAGGTTTTCCCATAAAACAAACATTTCCCCTTTCCAAGCGGCTCTGAACATCTCCACTGCTGTTCCAGACGAGGAGAACAGCAGTTCACTGAATTATTTACTGCCTCCTGAGCAGGGCAGACTGGCTCCCTTTGGCTGAACCCAGCCAGGAGGGATGCAGGAGTGTGCTGCATCTTTTAAGCACCAGCTGGGAGGGTTGGAGGTGCCAGGGACAGAACTTCCCAAGGTCCTGTCACCTTCTGGCCCACGGCACAGCTCTGGGGATGGCTGTGCTGTGGTGGCACTGCCAGGGCAGCAGCGTGGCCTGGGAAAGGCACATCCCAAACCCTCCAGAACGATGGTGGTGGGGGCTGGAGGGGGGTTGTGGGCAGCTGTAGGGCACTTCTGTGTGGGCAGCTGCACCCAGCAGAGGTGGAGATGCATCGGTGGTGATGGAGCAGTGCTGGTGGTGCAATGGTGGTGGAGCAGTGGAGATGAATCAGTGGGGATGGAGCAGGCTGGAGAGCTGGGGGAAAGTTCATCTTTGCTCC